ACACACACACACACACATATGTAGATATTACATATGGTTAAAATGAAGTATACATATTTAGTAAGTATACAGGTTTCATATAAATATAATCTAAACTTAATTTGTTTTTGTAGCCCGCATAATTAAACGTTTCAGTTACATGTGAATTTTGATTTTATGCACTGTATAGTAAGGTTGGGTGATATGTAAAAATTTTCCAACTGACAATCATCAGTCCAATAACCAACGATAGGGGATATGTTTGTGCAGACTTTTTGATGGGCGAAGCAATATAATCATGCATGGACTGATTTGCGCAATTTCAATGTATAAGTTGTGTTTGGAGGGAATATTTTGCCTTCTTTTCTTGTTTGTTTCAGTATTAATATAGCTACTTTTGGGATTATTTATTTATTTATTTGAGATGCACCAAAGACTTAACAATAGACTTAACAATACGGCAGAGAATCTGTTTGTTTGTTTTTTTAATGTTTGCTGGAAGAGACATTTTGATTTTTAAGTAACTGTTTGTTTAATTTTGTATTTGTTGTTTGGTTGAGTGTGTAAGACAAACACCGGAGCTGCCTGTAAACACGGTTATAGTGGAAAAAAGAAGCCAATTTCTTATTGTTTCCCTCCCCACCACTGTGGGTTTAAAAAAAAAAGAAGAAAGAAATAAAATGTATGTTTTTTTCTGAACTAACTTTCTTTCTTTCTGTTATGAGTTTCAGTAAATGAGTCGCTGCATTTTTGTGCACTCTGAGGAGGGTGCATTTGTTCACAGCTGGAAGAGGGTGCCGTTGAAACAGCGGTATTATTTTTTCTGTTGACTGCTTCTGTAAGCTTCAACCAACATTATTAGCAAACGTACTCCTGGGGAAATGATAAATAAATAAATTGCTCTTGTAAAAATGATGGGTATAGGCTCACCCTGTTGTCAATAGTCAATATATTCGTCCAATCTCCCAACTTTACTGTATAATAAATATGTAGCCTAATAAGTATAAAATCCAGAAAGCTACACAATTGAGGTGGTTCATTCACAAACACAAGTCTAAGTTTTTTGTTGGAAAAAAATAAAATTGTTACATGCTTACACTTAAACAAACCCATATGGAAAAGATATATATAAATCTTATAAAGTTTGTATCTGTCTTGTGTGAAACTTGTATGAAAAGCATACAAGAGTGAAAACAGATATAAGATCCCTTGAAAAAATATATAATGAAACTTTTATGTTTTGGATACTTACTAAAACAATATATGAAAGTAATGAGAAAGTGGCCACTTTCATGAGTAAATCATGTAAGCCTTATATGATTTACTTATGAAAGTGGGCTCTTTCATGAGTAAATCATATAAGTTTTTACTATTTCTTTTCCATATGGGAAATGTCAGAAATTCTGCACTGTCATGACAAAGAAATTTAAACCTAATTTTTCACGCTTTGTTGAATTAAACCAGAGATTCCCAAAGTGTGGGGCCCGCCCCCTGGGGCAAAAAAAGCAAAAAAAAACACGCTTGGAGACTGATGGCATAGTGGACAGGTTTTTGACGGGGCTCCCACACAAACGCAAAGCAGGAGATGAAGCATCGCCAAATATGTTTCCAAACCAACTTCCTTCCAAGCCAAAGACTAGAAAATATGGTGAAGCATATCTTCCCTTTGGCTTCACCTGCACAAGTGCCAAGGTAGATCTCCCCTGCAGAATTGGTTTTCCCTGCATCGGGAGCATGAGCTGGGCTCTCCAAATCACGGACAGACAGTATCCCACATTCTTGATTTTTAGTTCACAAACACTTCTTGTAATGACTAACTTACTCCTGACATTTTGGAGATGTTAGCTCTTTATACAGTAAAGTTACAGTGGGATACAGGGAGCATTATTCTTGTAAAACAAAGGGGGACCTAGCAGAAAAAGTTAACCCACTTAGTTCCAGATTATAATTGGCCATATTTGACTGCTTTTGATTTTACATTTATATTTCACCTTTAAATGTTTTTTTGCCTTGTGTGGTATCATTGTTTTCAGCACAATCTTATGTCTGCATGTACAGTTATTTTTTCATTTAATTTCATTGTTTATTTTTGTTTTTTTTGTACAACCATTAAAAAAAACTACTAAAACTAAAACGAGAGAACAATCAGCTGTCACAATAAGATGCCCCACAAATTATTTTTGCCAGTAAAAAAAAAAAAAAGTTTGTCCACCACAAGGCAGGGGAGAACACCACAGGGATAAACCCTGCAGGCCTGACAACAGGTGTACGATTCCTCTGATTTTCCACCTGGAGACATTGTTCAGTGGAGATGGTGTCTTCCTTTGTGACGTTCATTAGTACCCTTACTGACACAAAGCAAAACAACAATCACACAACACACTAACTATGCACTCCACCCTAAACGTTACACATCTCTTTCTCTCTCTCGCCCGCTGGATCTTGCTGCCGCCGCTCCCAAATCATTCCAAAACAATAAAATCCCACATGATGCCACTTTTTTTTTATTTGTCGACATGATACATTTTTCCACCAATAGCAAAGAGGTGCCTTTTTTTTTTCTCTACTGTTTTTCACACATGACGATAGTATTCAGAAAAAGCATCGCATATATATATTAGGGAGAGAGAAAGACTGCTATGTCAGCTTAAATCGGTCATGTGCGTGTCTGCACACATCTGCTACTGTGTGTGTGTATGCCAGAAAGATGGAGAGAGTATGAAGGTGCTTCCTCCTCCTCTCACCTTTCATCAGGTAGACAAGACCAGCTAGGCATCCACTGTTAATTGGCTCTGCCCTGCCAGAGTCCGTGCAGCTCCTTTTCCACTCCTCATTCCCCAACAGTTCCTCCCTTCATCATCACCTCTTATCCATACTTAACAATTCCTTCTTTGCACCCTTGTCCTTTACCTGTTATGCAAGGCCTAATTGGAATACAGTGGCTGCTTTAGACTGCAGTGTGGCAGGTTTAATTATAGCTTTTTGTACATACTAAAATATATCATCTTGTATGAAATATTTCTGATATTTTGTTTGTAGATTTGTTTAAACCTGGTTATTAAGTTTGTGGGAGTGATGCAACTATAAGCCTTTTTGTCTAAACTTTGTCCCATGTGAGTGAATTACTCAGAGTAAACACTAACAGAAAACTGCAATTCAATATTCATATTTAGGACACAAAATACTTCGATTTATGTTGTGGAATGTAACATGATGAGTTCTTCTTTTGAAACACTTTTTTTTTTGTTTGTTTTGTTTTGTTTTTCTATGTGTGCTACAACTTGCCTTGAGGCAACAGTTGCTAAGATTTGGCCCCATTTATAAATTGAATTAAATTGGAAAAAAAAAACCCTACTATATGTATGTTTGAACAACCACGTCTTATACTTACAGAGAATGGTAGGAATAATTTCCCGAAGCACTTTTTATGGTTGAGTCAGTCTGAGGAAGGAGCTCTGCTGCCTCAGAACTGTCTTGTGTAGGAGGTGTCATGAGTTGTCCATGATACAGAGGAAATACAAGTGAACTGAGCTGGAGATGTTTTGTTGTGCCTCTGAGTGGTAATTATCGTGTGTGATGTGGGATTTAAAAATTTAGAGATTTGCCTTTAAAAGATGGCAGAAATGTTTAGATTGCCTTCGTTTTCCAGGTACTTTTGATGATAATGTGGCATGTGCATATTTCATTACCTAAACCTAAACTTGTTAGATTGGTGCTGATTTAGAGCTGCATCATTTTTGCAATCAAGTGAAACAGGTTTGTAGTCATATTTATTAACAATTCAGCCTCATGACTAACATTTTCCTTTCACAATAAAGCCTAGCAGCTCTGAGCAATTTCTGACAGTGTAACATTGCTGGATGAGGCTGGGCTTCCGATGTTAGTCGGGATTTTTTTTTTTAGCAGTATACTGATAGATGTTCCAGCCTTGATGTTGTTTCTGTGTTCTTGTGGCTGCATATCAGGACTCGGGCTGCATTGCTGCAGATAATATGTGAGAGCACTTTGCAGAGCACTGTAGGACTGGCTGCAGTGGCTGATCCTCCCCACTGAGCACACTGACCTCCACATGGAAGAAAGAGAGGAGGGGGAGGAGAAGATGCAGCTATTCTCTCTATTCTGTTTGTTCTCCTTCTCTCCGAGTGCCTTGCTCCACAGGC